ATTTAAAAAAAAAAAAAAAAAAGCAAGCATTATAACAGACATAGGATGAACTTTATATTATAATATAATTTCTTTGAAACACTGCTGAATTGAGACATTGAGCCTAGCAATAGAGATGCATTTATACACATTGTAATTTATTTTTTAGATCTGGATGGTTAACTGTTTAAAAATGTGTTCAGTGCAAAGCTAATAAGATGTTTGTTAGGAAGTAGTCTTTAAAGGTAAAAAATGATAATTGTCTGAGATTATATCCCTCAATTTAAAAAAATCTTTCTAAATATTTTAAGTTGGAAGACAATCAAATGGACTTTAGTTGGAAACTGTAGTCTAATACTTCTGCATCAGAGGCTGGGGACGAGTTTAAAACATCTTAGTGGAAGGTAGAATTTGAACTAACAGTGAACAGTACATAAGAGTATATCAAAAACAATCTGTTGGCAGCAGTATGTTGTTGGTTTGTTGATGCTTCAATAGTCATTCACGTTAAAGATGTATAGAGACTACTGACAGCTTTCATTTTAAGCCTGAGACCAATTTTCTGTTGACACTTCATTCATAGTCGATAGCAAATGCAAACTTGTGTTTTTTAGATATTATGCTTTCCTACTTTGTAACAATTTACTCAAGCTACCTATTCCCTGAGCTGCTATGTATTGTGTAATAGGAAATGGGTATGTGGCATACATGTGTGTAATGGCTTTGTTCTCTTTTAGGACAATGGTGCACTTATGGTGGATGAAACGAATGACATCAGAATTATAGGAGCTATCACAGTAGTTATATTGTTGGGTATCTCTGTAGCGGGAATGGAGTGGGAAGCGAAAGTAAGCCATCATAATATTAAAATTTTATAATTATAACTTTATTAGTATTAGTATTTTGCATGTTCTGTATCTGAATTGAGAAGGAAAACCAGCTTTACACTCCTTGCCCCCTGCACCCTACACATTTTTATTTTTTTATGTAGCTTATTTGGCTTCAGTTCCATAAATAATCTCCTGGGGTCTTTGCATGTTGCTGCAGCAGTCTGGCAGAGTGGGAAACCTAATGATATGGGAGAGCTGTCCTATGACCATAACAAACACCTTACTGGTTTTATGCCTCTTTAATTCAGTTTTAAAAGTCCTAAACAACTTATTAATGAAATACTTGCTCCTTATGATTCTAGGGTATTTTTAGAATTTAATTACTGAAGCAAACTAGGAATCATCATACTTTCAAACAGTTTGTGCCCAAGACTTGGGTTTTAATTTGCATGCATTTATCACTTAAGGTGGGGTTTTTCAGGGGCGGGGTTTGAGTTCAGATCTTTGCTGGTAGCTTAGGTCATCTTAGTACTTAAACTCAGTTACAGAGCATGAAAATTAGAAAAATATGAACTAGCCTGCTTCTAAGTAAAATAACAAAAGTAAATAATATCTTTTTTTTATGTTTATCTTCATTTTCAATCACCTTGGGTGTTGAATTATTGAAGATTAATGATTATTCACCCAA